TATTGTAACTTTGGGTGAACTTTTAGCACACAAAACTTGAAAATTATATTGAACAATTTGCCTACGAGAATAGTTCCATTCAATATCTTTCAAATGATCTAAAGAGCACGAAAATTGGACGTAACATGACAGAGATATGAATATAACAAATTTGTCATGTTTTTTTGGGGTTGTCCTTAAACTTATGATCGAGAGTGTATTACGTGTAATTTTCGTATTTTCACTTGAAAATGCATTAAATACATATTTTAATTTTCTGTCATATGCGTCATGAAAACTTTGTTGATGTTTTTAATGAAAGATGAAACTATCAAAGTCAAGCGCTCTTTCACTTGACAGCTTCACCGAAGTTTGAAAGAAAGGCTAATACCAACCGGTGAAAACTCGTGCTTATTTCAGTTACCGTGGGGACGTAATTTGTGATTAGCCCCGGTCTCTTTCAAATTGTATCATTATTTATGTACGGTCCTTATATTTGAAATGAATTTTCACATTCATCTAGTGATGGCCGATTTTCATTCGAATAATCGATTAATCGATTAACGAACCGAACAGTAAAATATTTGTAATCGGTTATATCATGCCGATATAAGCATTAACTTCTCCAGAGGATCATCACCGATCGTTTCAAACATGTGCTGCACTCTCATGGATGGAAATATGGCAGCACAGCGAACAAAAAAAAATCGATTAGTTGTTTATCGAGTAATTAAAAAATGGGACACCTCTGATTTTGGTGTGATTGTTTTGATAAAAAAGCGCAAAATTTCATCTCTACCGAGGGGGCAGCAAAACCACAAAATTACCTTGCATACTGGGGGTATTCATTGGATGAAAGGGACCGTGAAAGAGGACACTAAAATTGAAATTTTTTCTTCCGACAGTGTCATCTTAGTATTTATCTTTGCTAATACCAACAATCAATACGAAACTATAGATTTTAAATTGGCTCACTACTTGACTAGCTTATTGGTCCCAAGCAAATCGATTAACGTACCCTATTCTAGTCAAAATTCTAGTAATGCACAATTTATGTTTTGATTTGCTATGAAAGTTTGACAGATGAAATGAGGGGTTCGTGAATTTTACTATGTTTCAAGGGGTGCATCGATTAGCTAGGGACCGAAGATAGTACCAGAGCTGAGCCAAAAAGTTGAGCACGGTTCTTCGGGACCTTCTAGTCTTAGAGTTACTTCTATGCTAATACTATATGAAGCTGGAATTAGTGCGTAACAGCTTTTGTAAACAATGCCTTCTCTCGTTGATTTCTGGGAATTCAAGGCACATCTACTCAAACCAACATATCCATCGGGTTAGGGAAGTCTTTCCCTTTTCGATGGTGATGTCGATTTGCCAGGGAGAGCCATGAGTGTCGAGAAATCATCGAGAGAAGTCATTGTTTGCTAAAACTGTTACGCCCTAATCCCAGCTCTATCTATCTATATGTGGTTGACAGTGATAGTATAGAGGTAACTCTAAGACTAAAAGGTCGCGAAGAAACGTGCTCAACTTTTTGGCTCAGCTCTGGTACTATCTTCGGTCCCAAGCTAATCGATTAACCCCTCGAAACATAGGAAAATCCACTAACCCCTCATTATATCTGTCAAACTTTCATAGCGGATCAGAACAAACATTGTGTAGTGTTAGAATTTTGACTAGAATGGAGTACGTTAATCGATTTGCTTGGGACAAATAGGCTAGTCAAGTAGTGAGCCAATTTAATATCGTTAGTTTCCACCGGTTAGTGATTGGGTTACCCTGGCCTGGAATGCACACTCAAAAAATATTTAAATCTAAATAGATTAAAAGATAAACTTAATCTCAACTGTCCCGCCCAACGCATAGCATGGTATAAAGTGAGAGAATACGAACTTAGTGTATAAATGATTTATGGATGAGAATGTATAGAGAGTGAGAATATGAATGATGTATTATGGAGCGTTATTAGCCACATGTATTTTCGTTGTTATTTAGCGTTATATATTCATATTGATTTATATTTTAAAATTAATGTTCTTGTTAAAGAAAATCATATTACATATAAATTAAACATTGTATATTATACTATCTGGAGCCACATCATTCCATTGATTTATATAAAGGATAAGGATTTTCCATCTTGTCCATGTACGGAGGTAATATCGGCCAACTTAGCACTTCAACTAGAACATGGCTGTAGTCCTTAACTGACAGGTCTGTCAGTTCATCGACGGGTAAACTTTATGACAGGGTGAAGAAATATGGTTAGATTACTTTTCCGGATCTCCCTACCGAAATTAGGCATCGATGGCATGAGATGAGATGTTCTGGAATGGTGAAAATTCGTGGTAATTTATACAATCTTTGAAACCTATTTAAAACCTACGAGTACCTGGAGAAAGCCTTAACTAACACCTCACAAGACAAACATACGATGCGGTTGTACTGAAGATGCAAAACAAATAACACGTTCCTGCGGCATTAAGAGCTTATACAGCATGAACAATTTATGTTGTTATCTATAACCAATTGAAACTTTGCTTAGTAATAGCATAGAGGTAACTCTAAGACTAGAAGGTCGCGAAATAACGTGCTCAACTTTTTGGCTCAGCTCTGGTACTCTCTTCGGTCCCAAGCTAATCGATTCACCCCTCGAAACATAGGAAAAACCAATAACCCCTCATTTTATCTGTCAATCTTTCATAGCGAATCAAAACAAAAATTGCGTAGTACTAGAATTTCGACTAGAATGGGGTACGTTAATCGTTTGCTTGGGACCAATAGGCTAGTCAAGTCGCGAGCTAATTTAAAATCGTTAGTTTCGTATTGATTGTTGGTAATAGGTTACACTTGTTATAGTACGTTCAGACTACAGAGTTATAACATGCTATAACAGCGCTATCTTGATGGTGGTTTCTGTGTTGCAATTATTTGACAACCGTTATAACATGTTATAACTCTGTAGTCTGAACGTACTATAACAAGTGTAACCTATTACTAAGCAAAGTTTCTATTGGTTATTGATAGTAACATAAATTGTTCATGCTGTATAAGCTCTTAATGCCGCAGGAACGTGTTATTTGTTTTGCATCTTCAGTACGACCGCATCGTATGTTTGTCTTGTGAGGTGTTAGTTAAGGCTTTCTCCAGGTACTCGTAGGTTTTAAATGAAGCTACTACATACCTTGAACACCGACTCGCTCAGAAGCACTTCAACAATGTTTATTATAAAGCAATGGTAGAAAGAGAGACAAGCGATTGGACACTTGTTTGTAGGCGCCAACTCTCGCGTAACATTTGAAAAGGGCCTATCCTCGTTGATCGATTCTCTTATTTGACTTAATCTTTGGTTTACCACGGCTACATAAACGGATTTCTCGCTAAGCTCGCAGCACAGTTCGACAGAAGATGATGTTAGCTTGCGCCTGAAACAACACACTCAATAGGGAGATGCCCCCTCGGGTTAACCTCACTTTTTTGACATCTGGCAGTGGTTTGCTTTGTTTTTTTGTTTCTTTAATTGTTTTTTTTTTAGATTTTTTGGAGAGGAATATATTTCAAACGAACAGAGTCGGATATCATATGTATTAATTATTTTTATTTATAAACTCAAATCCACTTGAATCGACTAACATCCAAAGGTAAACAAACCACCACTGGATGTCAGACTGATGAATGTGGGTTCATCGCATTCATTCGTGACGTCAGCGTGCAGCATCCTATGGGAAATGCATTTGCTGTCGGGCTATTCGCCAATGAGAAAATCGATGAAGATAATCGATCAACAATGGCAGGCCCTTTCTCGTATTCCGCGAAAACTGAGGTTCTAGAATATTGCGAAGCTGTTCGACTTCAACCGATAAAGAAAGCCAGCAGTCTCTTCGTCGCATCGATTTTGTCGATTGAAGCTGATATTGTGACGTCCTGAATACAAAATCCGCATCAGTGGAGCGTTCGGCTAGGTCATCCAGCTTACTATGCAAATCAGATAGTACACATAACCTAAGATTCCCATATTTGTACAACAATTAATCATATCATTAATCTATCAGACTCATTGACAAAATGCGGTCGTAGAAATAAGCTTCAATGAATCAATTAAAACAAATTGCAGTTGCAATCATTCAATCTTTCAACGGTTATCTTTCGGATGGCGATCATAAAATAGTTACCATCAGGGGCAGTAATTAACTTCTAGGGGTAAATAGGTTCATCGGTAAAGGCGTAGCTATAAAGCAATACCATCAACAATCAATACGAAACTAACGATTTTAAATTGACTCACTATTTGACTAGCCTATTGGTCCCAAACAAATCGATTAACGTACCCCAGTTTAGTCGAAATTCTAGTACTACACTATGTTTGTTTTGATTCGCTATGAAAGTTTGACAGATAAAATGACAGGTTCGTGAACTTTCCTATGTTTCGAGGGGTGCATCGATTAGCTTGGGACTAAAAGAGAGTACCAGAGCTGAGCCAAAAAGTTGAGCACGTTTCTTCGGGACCTTCTAGTCTTAGAGTGACCTCTATGATACCATGCTGGAGGCTGCTGGGTTAAATTCCTGGTTCGTTTTATGAATTTTTCGAGCTGGAAAATTCCTCGACTTCCCTGGGCATATAGTATGATTATACTAACGCAAAAATGGTACTGGCTAAAAAAGCTCTCAATCAACAACTGTGGAAGTGCATCTTGAACACTATGTTGAGGGTTGGCGTAAAAACCCAGTAGGGACGCAATACAACCAAAGCAGAGAAGGGTGCATGGTATATGGGGTAAAATGATGTTTTGACAGTTTTGAATACATTGAATAATGCTGCTTGACAGATTTTCGAGCAAGAGGTTAAAAAAGTTATTTAAACACCACAAAGTCAGATGCATTTTACCCCAGACCTCGTTCAAAAAGCTGCTAAAACGTTGGTCGACGATCTGCCATTTATCATTGTGCAGAGTTGTGGGATTCTACTAATGACATTTGCTTATTCAATTCTAATTGTTCCTTTTTGCCGTTTCCATTTGCAGCGATGGAATCCCTTCTCCACTATGGATGTTCTGGAAGCGGCGGAGATACATAGTAGTATTTATGGCCTTCCTGGGTTTCTTCAACGTGTATGCTCTGCGAGTGAATCTCAGTGTGGCCATCGTCGCTATGACCGAGATGCGGGAAGTAGACTACGGTAATGGCACAATCGGACATGTAAGTAATGAAATAAACAAACTGGTTTTACAAAAATTGTGATGCAATTCTTCAAATTTAGGAGCAATACTTTGACTGGAGCTCACAGTTGCAAGGCTACGTGCTGAGTTCATTCTTCTATGGATACATTCTGACACCGTTTCTGGGTGGATTCATCTCCAACAAACTCGGTGGCAATTATGTGAGTTGTCTATCATCACCCTTTCGTCGAGTGGCACCACTTGAACCTTAATCGAATTAATTATTTCGCCTTATCATAGGTTTTCGGCGTCGGTATAGGAGTGACAGCCGTGCTGACCCTTCTCACCCCACTGGCCGCCAAAGCTGGTGTGGGTTGGTTTATCGCAGTGCGAATAATCGAGGGCATCTTCGAGGGTGTCACGTTCCCGTGCATCCATGCCGTGTGGTCCAAGTGGGCTCCACCTTCCGAACGATCTCGAATGGCATCAATTGCCTTCGCTGGCAACTATGCCGGAACGGTGGTGTCAATGCCCTTAAGTGGAATTTTTGCCAATGCCTATGGGTGGGAGAGTGTGTTCTATATTTTCGGAGCTATCGGGTGCGTCTGGTTCGTGCTGTGGACCGTTATGATAAAGACATCGCCCGAGGTAGACCGGAGCATCAGCGCCAACGAGAAGGAGTTTATTTTGTCCAGTCTGAATAGGACCGAAGGAGTACCGGAGAAGATCAGGCACCCGTGGAAGGGAATGCTGACGTCGGCGGCGGTGTGGGCACTGGTGGCTTCGCACTTCTCCGAAAATTGGGGATTCTATACGCTGCTAACGCAGCTGCCGACGTTCTTGAAAGGTGAGTTAACGAAGAATCTGGTGGCTTCAAGATGCTGGTCGGTAGCGAGATGGATAGGCTGGAATTAATGGATTATTAGGCCGTGTCGATTTTGACAGATTGCATCATCTAATGATTATTCTACGATTAAATAATCTTTAAATTATTTGAAAATTCCTAGGTAATTATGACAGTTGACTAGAGCTAATCCACACCAACTATAGAGGAATTAATGAAAAAGAGAAGGATTACTTACTTCCATTTAGTTCCACTACCTTAATTGCTTATCCTTGAAAGATACGCGTATTGCGTCTAAAATTCTTAAGTCTGCAAATTACCCGAGCAAGAGAAAATAACTTATGAGCACCTTATTATGTTCCTGATATGAAAATTTAGTGTTGACTTAATGACATAAGAGGTAAAATACCAAATTATACCAAACAATTGCCTGCAAAATACATTGTAAATAACAAAATTTAATATTTGGATACCAAAGGTATCTTTCTTTATGTACTAGAAAGGCTTTGGCACCCATTGACTATTTTCGGCAACAAAACGATAATTTCACTGCATTTTCTCACCAAAATACTTCTATGTATGTATTGAAACTAGGGTTTATGGAAAGTCCGATTGTGTTTTGTTGCAAATATTTGCGGATAGGGAAGAAACACGTTCATAACGGTGCCGGTGGTGTGGTGGTAAGCGTGATTACCTCTCACTTCAGCAGGCCTGGGTTCAATCCCATTCGGCACGACGGGGATGTTCTGAGGCATAACATATCTGATCACACATTTGGGAAGAAAAGCCATTGATCCCCGGTTCATGAGTTGTTGGGTCAATAGGTAGCGTTCAGGTGTGGTAGCTGCCTCCCTGGCGTCGGCAGTTTGGTGCTCAGCACGGAAAACAAGATAGACGGAAAACAAACAAAAAGATACACGTTCACATTCAGTTGATGTCGGCAAATAATATAAATAAGTTTTTTAAGCAGCATTTTCAAAAAAAAACAAACATAACCTTGTTTTTAACAAATAAATTCAGATTGTAAAAATCTGTCGTCATCTAATGTTAAATGGCAGAAGGAATGCAATGATAACTTGATAATGCTGGTAATGAGTTGACAAAATAATTGGGTTTGAATTTTTAAAAATTCAGCTATGCAAATTGTATGTATCAGTTTCCCGTTAAGTTCGAAAAGCAAGCTGCTTCTGTATTGTTTTGATTTTATTTAACCACTGGTGTACCGGCTTCGAAGAATGCTTGAATGTTAAGTTCCTTGGGTTTCGTAATGTAATGTCAGCCTAGCCCCTCCCTTCGGTCTATCAAGCAAATAACTAATTTATTCAGAAATAATTCATAATAGTAATGAAAACTAATAAATATCACATCTGTTGTAAAATCACAGACAAACAGACGTAACACTTTGAATACATTTTTCTTGAAAACATTGTACTTCATAAAACAAGACCTCAGTAGCGACATCTCTCGAACTCGCGGCAAACAAGCTTGCTCGCTAAGTCGCAAACAATGTTGCATGCAACTTAAACAGAATATATAGAAACGTCAAAGTGATTTAATGCCAGCGCTGCGGTGAGCAGTTCGTGGAAATGATAATATTCAAATCAGTCGTTAAATGCCTGAACAATTATTCAGGACGAAGAATTAGTCCGGTTTGTCTGTGGTAAAATTGTAATCCGTAAATTTATTGCCTATTTTCATTGGTCACATTTAGTACATGTATTGCTCATACGGGAAAAACGGGAAAAAATTCGATATCCGAAATGAGAAAAATGACTCATGATTTCATGATCAAAGCGTACCCAACAAACATTGAATGTTGAATAAGAGCTTATTCAGGCAAAAACAAGCTTCTTCAGCTAAAAAATAGCTTAATCAGCTGTTGATCAACTCAAATTGTTTGTTGGGTATTTTCATGTTATGAAAATACACAATGAATAATATTCATGATATCATGAGCAACAAATGTCCAAGCGTAACGCTTGGACATTACAATCCTGATTAGGCCCTTCGGACTATTACCACCGATGAACCGACGTGCCAGCTTATGGAAGCTACATTCAAATTCTTGCCCAAGACGCCATATTTAAAATACATTAAAAACTACCACCATCTACTCATCCCATCGCGTTATATCGTGAGCAAGGACACGAACACACGTATAATTTATACACGTAATACACGTAATATAACTACCATAGAGGTAACTCTAAGACTAGAAGGTCTCGAAGAAACGTGCTCAACTTTTTGGCTCAGCTCTGGTACTCTCTTCGGTCCCAAGCTAATCGATTCACCCCTCGAAACAAAGGAAAAATCAATAGCCCCTCATTTTATCTGTCAAACTTTCATAGCGAATCAAAACAAACATTGCGTAGTACTAGAATTTTGACTAGAATGGGGTACGTTAATCGTTTGCTTGGGACCAATAGGCTAGTCAAGTAGTGAGCCAATTTAAAATCGTTAGTTTCGTATTGATTGTTGGTACTACGGTACTGCGATCCCGGATCGAAGAAATTACTGGTTTGACGGCGAATGCAAACTATTAGTAGAGGAGAAGAATGCAGCACGAGCAAGAATTCTGCAACACCGCATGAGATTGAATGTGGAGCAGGACAGCAGGAAGACTAAGGTTGCGAGGCGATGGAAAATCTGTACCGCGTAAAGTCCCTTTGCATCTCGACGGGGGTTACGGCAAGGTGATGGACTTTCGTGTCTGCTATTTAACATCGATTCAGAAAGTGTGATCAGAAGAGCTGGGATAGACACGAGTGGCACGATCTTCAGAAAGTACATGCAGCTTCTTGGCTTCACCAATGACGAATGAAGGAAGACGTTCTAGCGAAGACAATGTTATTTAGCCTCCTACCCCGAGTTCAGATTGACGGTGACGAAATCGAGATGGTCGACGAGTTCGTGTATTTAGGTTCACTGGTGACCACCGAAAACTCCGGAGGACTCTCCGGTCGAATAAAATTCGGCACCGCACGAAGTTGACTATCTACGAGACGCTGATTAGACCGGTGGTCCTCTACTACCACGAGACCTGGAGTATGCTCGTGGAGGACTAACGCCCTGGTGTTTTCGAACAGAAGGTGTTGCGTACCATCTACGGTGGAGTGCAGATCGATGACGGAACGTGGAGGAGGCGATAGAGCCACGAATTGCACCAGCTGCTGGGAGAACCATCCATCGTCCACATTACAAAAGTTGGGCGACTACGGTGGGCTGGGACCCAACATGAACAAGAAGAAGAGGTGGATCGACCAGGTAGAAGGTTACCTGCGGACTCTTCGCAGACTACGAGCCTGGCGACGTGTGGCCATGGATTGAGTAGATTCGAGACGATTTCTTCGGACAGCAGAGGACATCATGGTCGTAGCCTGATTGGTATGGTAACTAATAACGACAATATTCACACTGACCTGAGCAGTTTGGAGCGTTGTAAAAAGTTTTCAATTAGTTTTGGACAATTTTGGATAGAGAATGGATAGAACAGCATGCAACAAGTAAGAAAATGCAAATAGAAGCACGAACGCTGCTTGGACTGACTGAGAATATGTAAATTCCCATATGTGCTTTTTGCTAACTAGTTCGCAAAAATGGACATTACCTAATTGGGTTAAAATTAAGGTCAGAGAAAAACAAACAATTGTCGCTTTAAACTTTGGATATTAACTTCTATAGTTTCTATTCTTCTTCCGAAAATTCTTTTGTTCGAGATTTTGTACCAGTCTGTCTGGATAGATAATTCTGTCACAATGGCTCTTCACTTAGTTCCAACCTATTCCAGTCAAGAGTAATTGGTATTAGACGCTCAAATTAGATTGATCAAGACTGTTTCAAGTGTAGTAAAGTTGTGTGTTGTCCCATTTTTGTCAACAGGTCAGTGCTGTCTACTCTGCTTTCCTTAGAACTTTGCAAATTGAGATTATACTAGAACATGCTTTGGGAATTAGAGTTGGATACTAAATTGTGTGGAAGCAGGGATGCAAGTGATTTTGATCGATTCTTATCATCGACTTTCTGTTTAGTTAATAACTCGACGGCAAGCACATTCATTGGTACGTTTGTTGTTCTGATAGAAGAGCATAGCAGAAATAGTGCGAAATAGGTTAGCAAACACATAGTCATCAAAAGAGGAAATCGATGAAGAGAATTGACTTTCGCACCGCTTTTGGTTCTTGGGTAACACTTGTGGTTGCAATTCTGCTGTTCGACATTTTCGAAGGACCAGCAAAAACGTGAATTAACACTATTTTCTAGGGATGCCTTAAAGTTCAATTATTCGATTAAAGATTATTCCAGCTATTCGATTAAATATTTATCGAACTTTCAATTATTCGAGCGCGTAACCCTTCTTATTTCTACTCGTTTGATTTAGCGCAGTAGAGGAAATAAATAAAAGTACTTATTTATCTGAACAGGCATAAAGAAGAACCATGACATGAAACATGATCATAAATTCGCCGAAAAAAAGTGTTAAGTGTCTTTCTGCTAAAGTCTAAGATTTACCAGGAGTTTAACGAAAAAAATTAAAAAGGGGAGGAAATTTAGCTGGTTGGACACTGATATTCTGCGGCCTTCCAACCTGTCGCAGACACCAGTGTAACCCCTGTCCAGCTGCAGATGGGCCGAGACTCTTGCTAGTGCACAATCATTGAACCGAAGAATATGGGATTGTCCGGTCTGATTTGCTAATCCAGCTGCCTACCCGGCTTCACCATCTTCCAAAGGCTTTAAGACTACCAGCGTTGTTGTTGTTGAATTTCTGAACATGTCCCAACTAAAATTCACAAGCCCAAAACACAAGCTCCTGTTGCAGTTAACAAATAACAACCCCAGGCTGTCCCTTGTAGTTTTTATTATATTTCATCAATGAGCAATTCCCTACGAATTCGCAAATCGGTGTATTTTTTAATATTTTGATTTGGTTGAAAATTTGCGGAAACGTTCCTTATGACCAACAATGCTATTTTGCATCTTCATATCGCCATTTTGAATCCAGCCTTATTTTTGAAAAGGGCACATAGAAAAATATCAAGCTTATCTTCAGAACTTTTTTACTCTAAAATTGTTTGTCCGATCGGTTTGGTGTTTCGGGCAATATTGCTGGTGATAGATGAGACTATTTGAAAAAAATATGCCTTCTACAAAAAATAACCCAACATTTTTTTTAATTTCAAATAAAGTTTTAAAAACATTTTTTCTCAAAAAAGGATTTTTTGTATTTTTTATTTGACGATATGTTTAAGGAGACAAAAAATGCCATTGGTCAAGATGGAGAAATGATGAACCAAAAAGTTCTGATTTAAAAAAACTCAAGTTTTTGAAAAAAAAATCCAAAGCTTGGTCCAATTACTGTTTCGACTTTATGTAATGAAAGTACACCAAATTTACAATAAAAAAAGTAAAAAAACTGAGTAAAATTTTGCTTAGTCACACCGTTTTTGAGATGTTGCGGTTTAAAAGCAGATATTTTTAAAATGTTGGTAGTTTTTGGCCATTTTTAAATGTATTTCGCGGTTCTTCAGTTCCGAAAATATTTTTTTCCGAGAGATCAGAAAATTTTACAATGAAAATGCTCTTGGTGGCTTATCGATATGATCTAAATTTTGCGGAATGTGTATGTTTTAAAACAATTTATTTTCATGCAAATCCATATTTCGCTCGTTAGTATATGCAAAGAACTTATAATTGCAATTTTTCGAGAATGATTTAATTTGTTTTTACAATGTTAGATTGATATAGTTGTAATAAAAATCCATTCTTTAATTTTTAGTAATATAAACAATTTTCTTTTCATTATTACAGTTTGAAAAGTGTCTGACTTCTACTTGTCTTTCAGAAATAGGAATAAATTAGCGGTATTTTTGAGTTCCTTGAATGGTTATAGCTCTTGAGCATTGTTTGTTTAGCTCGTGCTTATGAGTTTCATATTCTTCAGTAGTTGCATAAAAAAAAAGCTATTGTGATATGTGTCGATCTTTAATATAAATCACTAATTTTCAAATAAAATTGAAAAAACCTACTAAGGTTATGGTTATGTTAACAGCCATATCACATCAATTGATGTTGATATGGAGATGTGCCAACCAAATTAAAGAAAAATAGAAGAACCTTGTAAAATGTATTCCAATGCAGGCACCTCATGATGGTTGTTAGTTTAATCCAGTAGGATTGTGTTCGGATACGATCATGCATCGATGCCATCGATGAATCATGCAGGAATTTTGTTGGCTTCTGATTGTCCATCCGTGGTCAGTATCTCTACTCCCAGTTCTTTTCGCTTGATTCCATCGAATTAAAATGGGCAATCCGCGGGCTTTGTTTTTCTTCGAGGATGCCAGAGAAGAAACGGTTTCCGTTTGGTTATATTTCTGGTGATCAGGCAAACTATCCAATGCCGTCTACGACACAGGCATTGGTACTTCCTTTGTTGTCCCGCTTGTCTGAACCTACCAAACCAGGTGTGATTTCCTCCTAATGGAATCACAGCTGGTTCAGCTATAGGAAACGTAACCCTCCTGCGGATGGAACAATATATCAATTAAATATGTAAAATTGTTCTAACAACTCACCTCAAACAGCAAAAAATGATTTAAGTCAATCTCCGATGCTGAATCCTGTTAAAATATTGTTACCATTATTTGTTGGTGTTTGGTGGGAGAAACATATTTTTCATTTTGAAGGAATCTTATTAATATTGCTTTTAAACATTAATATTTACTTACCAGTTAATACTAGCTACCTGTTATTGAGTAAAGAAATTACAATATCACATTCAAAATAGTTTTCTTATCACAAATTTGAAAATATACGCAATTTAACAGATGATTACAAGTTCACAACCGCTACGATTACAGCACTGCGGTTACCGGCATAAACTTGGATTTGAGAATTTCGTATCAACATTTTTTTCTTTTTCCCAGACACAATGCACTTTCAGCTGGAAAAGACTGGCTTCATCTCCGCCATTCCGTACCTGGTCATGGGCATCCTCCTATTCGTTTCCGGTTATCTGGCTGATCTGAGTCAACTCAAAGGATGGCTCACCACAACACAGGTATATTTAAAGCATTCCCTGCAAGCAGAAAAATGTTTAACCATCCTAAAATTAAAACTCATATCTCCAGGTCCGTCGGTTTTTCAACTGCGGTGCATTCCTCGGTCAAACGGTGTTCATGATTACGGGAGCATTCATCCTGAAGCCGACGGCCACGATCACCTGTTTCACGATCGCCGTCGGTATCGGTGCTTTCGCGTGGTCCGGCTTCGCCGTCAATCACCTGGATCTATCACCGAAGAGCGCTGGCGTGCTGATGGGAATTTCCAACACCTTTGCCACCATTCCCGGAATTGTGAGTCCCATCATAACGGGTTACATAACATCGAACAAGTCGGACGACGAATGGAGGGTGGTGTTCTACATTGCAGCGGGGATTTATTTGATTGGGTGTGTGATTTATTGGATTTGGGCTTCCGGCGAGTTGCAACCGTGGTCGATTGAAGCGCAGGAGAAACTGATCAAACAGCAGAATGGACGAAAGAGCGCCGATGGCGGTTACGCGAATAAGCTGACGATCGAAGACGAAAAGTGACGTGGGGAAGCGGCGTTCCTGAAGGGGAAATCGAAAGTATTTAACTATGTGTAGTTTACTGAAAAACATTCATGTTAGAAATGAATGTATAAAATTTATGTGATGTGATGAATAAAATGTTTTAACTCGTTAATGTTCAGATACCTGAGATATCGTATGCATTTTAACTTGCATGAAAGAATATTTTCCTCAACTTGTATGCAATGAACCTACACGGCGAATGATAACAACCCAAATTTAAGTTTAGTTTACTCATAATTGCAGAAAATGCAGGAACTCAGCGATGAGGAAATTTATATCATGTTTTCCTATGGAAAACCTCAAAAATCTGCCGGTGAGTGAGGAAAATTGACGAAAATTTTACTCAGTCGAGGAGTAGCACCAATAAACTGAATCCAATCTTTACTTTTTTCATATTAACGAATTTTTTCTTGGACTTGGAACTAATCGCTGATTTATGAGTAAACTAAACTCAAATTTTGGTCATTCTCATTTGCCGTGAACGTACTCAGATAATCACACACATTCTTGTTTTCGTTCAAACCGTATTTTCAATACAAAAACTTTTTTTTGTATTGAAAATACGGTTTGAACGAAAACAAGAATATGGGTGAATGAGCCGCTTTAACTCAGTTATCAGTAACCTTTGCCCATTCATATGGAGACATTTTTAAAAGCGTAGGTCACTCAAAGCATAAGTAACCACGCTTTAAGAAATTTATACATACGCATGAGTAAAAGTGACCCACCGATTGAGCCGATTGAACCAACTCAAATTTGAGTTTCTTTCACTTAAATTCGCTCAAACGTACGTTACTCATAGACTGAGTAAAAATTTTGTCGTGCATATTTGTGTGAAAAAGCAAGGAAAATTTTAAACAGTCTATGAGTCATAACCCACGAAATGTTAAGTTGATCTCAACGTCCGTGTGGCCGTAGAATCTGATTATTTCTTTGAGTTCTATTCACTTAAATTCATAAAAGCATAGGTGACTGAGTTTTTTTTGGATTAACTCATTTTCACGATTTTCCTGATAATTAAGTAAACATTAGAGGAAAATCGAAGCAAGTTTAGCTGAGTCTATAACTGACCTGCGTTTTTTGCGAATTTGAGTAGATGGAACTCAAATTTAAGTTGGATTTAACGGCCGTGCATTTGCTTACAATAATATTCGGTTCTGCGGTTTGCATGACGAAAGGCGGTACAATGCTACAGGCGATGGCAGAGTAATCGGGTCCAACACAAAGTTTAAGAATAGGTGTCTCAAAGAAATACTGAGCGGATAAGCACAGACAAACAGACATAGCACATTGATTATTTCTCAATGTAAAACATCGTCGCTAAAACATTACCGCCATCTATTGAGTACACTATGGTGGGTAGTGCGCTGAACAGATGGCGGTAGTGTGTAAACGTCAAACTCAAGGAAAATGGCTATGCGCACCACAGGTGGCGGTACTATCAACTACGATACTTTTAAATTGACCGTTAAATGCTTGTTCGATTGACAACTTGGGAGTGTTATGTCTGTTTGTCTGTGGGATAAGTTTTATATTTATTTTCACTACATCGTTTACATTCCACCAGAAAAGGTATTCCTCAAAGAACATAGAGCCATATTTACGGAGAAACCCCAATTTAAAAGTTTAGGAAACCCACCAGCCGAAAAATAAAGGTTTTTGAAATGTTTTATACTAGGAAATCCTGATATGACAATTTCAACAATCTGAACACCCCTCAAATCGCGATTAGAGCCATATTTACGGAGATAAATCAATATAAAGGTTTGGGAAATCCATCAGCCGATAAATAAATATTTATGGAATATTTTGTACATGTAAATCTGGATTTTAAAATTTCTACAATCTGAACACCTCTCAGATCGCGATTAGAGTCAAATTACCTAAAATCAGATTTCACACGTCTTGCGGTCTGTGACCGATAGCCATCCACACAAGCTAACTCACCTGTATAAAACATTCCCAATCGATAGATCTCTGCTCTATCTGGCTTGACAGTTTGATTACGACATTGTAGAATCAAATTGAATATGAAAAATCGACCCGGCAAGATGAAATTTGCTGATGTCTGTATGTGCGTCTGTGGACGCGTTTCATCTAGGCAGACGATCTTAAAATCTACCTACGAATCCACTCGATTGATGACTGTCACTTCCTTCAACGTCAGTTCGAAGCCTTTGCCAGCTGGTGTAATTTGAACCGAATGGTGGTTAACCCCACTAAGTGTTCAGTGATCACTTTTACTCGGAAGAAAGAACCAATCACATTTGAATACAAACTTATCGGCACTGTAATCGACCGTGTGAACCATGTGAAAGATCTGGGTGTTATTCTAGATTCTCAACTTACGTACAAGCAGCACATCTCGTACGTTGTCGACAAGGCGTCTAGGACGTTGGGATTTATCTTCAGGATAGCAAAGAATTTCTCCGATATCTACTGTTTGAAGTCACTGTACTGTTCCTTAGTGCGATCCATTCTGGAATATTGTTCTGTGGTCTGGAGTCCAAACTACAACAATGGTGCTGAGAGAGTTGAGTCCGTCCAACGCCGTTTTCTTCGATTCGCTCTGCGGAAGCTGCCTTGGAGAGACCCATTTCATCTGCCCAGCTATGAAAGTCGTTGCCAGCTGATTGATCTGGAGCCTCTCCGAACTAGAAGAGACACCTCTAGGGCCCTGTTCATTGTGGACACTTTACAAGGTAGAATTGATTGCAGTGCAATCTTGGGGCAAGTCAACATTAACGTCCAACCCCGTGCGCTACGTAACAACGTTATGCTGAGATTGCCACTTCAGCGCACAAACTATGGCATGAACGGTGCAATAGGTGGGCTGCAACGAGTGTTCAATCGAGTCTCGGGCATCTTCGATTTCCATATGCCTCGACAGCTGCTACGAAGATACTTCTCATCGTTCTTTTCTGGCACAGTTAACCGTGAATGATTGTGTGTTTTATTTATGTATTTTATTCTTAGTTTTTATTTTTTGATTTGATTTTTACCTATATAAGTTACTTAAATCATCATTGGGGCTTTACACAGCCTGTTGATGCAGACAAATAAATAAGCTTTTCCGAGATGGCTTATCCGATCAATATGGTTGATATCTCGTTTGAAAGGCCCCATTGATCGCTATTGAATTTTTTGTAGATATTACTTCCGGTTTCCGAATATACAGGGCAGAATGATTTTAGTTAATGATTTTTTTTTAATCAACGGTACACAACCCGATTTCATTACTTCATTATGATGGCTACCAAGCCCTTGGAAATTTTCCGTACAAGAGAGTTGCATAGATTTTTCTCCTTTACTTTGCTTAAATCTTTGGTTCTTTTAGTAAGGTAGGTTCCTATTCTACACATTGTAGTTTCATTTTTTTACCTGTGATTTTCATATTCTTACCTAGGGTATGAGTACTTAACGGGGTTAGATTTTTAAAATTCTTTAGTGGGAACGACAGTGATGAAGACTGCACATTGTAGTTGAAAAACGTATCTGTTATAGATACCAAAATTAATTAAGTTGAATCTAATGGAAGATAACCTTTTTTGCTGTTTTATGAAATAACGTGTCGAAGGTTATTCGGGTAGAATAATGATCCATTTAATATAACAGCCCAATCACAATGGTAACTAAAAAAAAGTGTATGTGCATTCTCTATTTCAAAACGTACTAAGGCTTGGTTTATTTCAAATCATAATGCAGAATTATGATGATTAAAACGCTCCTGGAAACCGGATTTGGATGGTTTTGACAGCAAGTTTTTTTTAAACTTCTTATCGTTGTGCGTTTGTAATCTGATATATAGTAAGACCAGGGAATGTTAATTCTGGACACTCTACTTCGAAAGTCGCGATGTCACTAAAATTTACCAAACTAGCCGTGTGTAGTGGGCTTAAGCATTATTGGAAAATATCAGGTCAATAACAATATCCCGTGAAATGGAACTTCTGATGATACCGTTTCGCGTTTTCTTGGGCCCACATTTGGCGATCTACTTGATGTACTATTTTCAACTTGATAAGCTTCTTCTTATCATGCACTGAGGTTTATCGTAAAAAGTCCGACGCGTTTAAGCTTTTCCGGAAACGTGGAACAGCCGTACATTCCGAAGCGTACTCGGCTCTTGAACGCGAACTCAAGAGCCTCATTTAAGCCAAAAAACGCGGATACTGGTGGCAATTCGTGGGTGGATTATCGCGCGAAACGTCGATGAATACGCTTTGGAACGCGGCGCGAAGAAACTGGTCTTCAAACAACGGGAGCGAGGAGTACTCGGATCGTTGGATTCTCAAGTTCACGCGAAAAGTATGTCCTAATTCCATGCCGGCACGGATGATTCCTCGTGAAACGACAAATTCGGTAGACGAGATCAGCCAGTCTTTTTCAATGGTGAAGCTCTCAATCGCGCTTCTTTCGTGTGGCAATTCGGCTCCGGGGGCTGATAGAATCAAGTTCAACTTGTTGAAGAACCTCCCAGACGTCGCTAAGACGCTAAGAGACGCATGTTGAACTTGTTTGGTCAGTTCCTGGAGCTCAATGTTGTCCCGGATGATTGGAGGTGGGTGAGAGTTATAGCCATTAAAAAGCCTGGCATACCCGCGTCAGATTACAACTCGTACAGACCCATCGCGATGTATTCGAAAATTGTTGGAGAAAATGATCTTTTTCCGCTCAGATACTCAGTTTGATTTCATGCGTTGTTTTCCACAGAAATTCAGTTGGCTTTTGCTAAAAAAAAAGAGCAAATGGCTTCTGTGTTCTTGGATATTAAGGGGGCTTTTGATTCGGTGTCAGTTGAAGTTCTTTCAGACAAAATCCACGCATGTCGCCTTTCTCCATCAATAAATATTTTTTTGTACAATTTACTGTCAGAGAAACATATAAGCTTTTCTCATGGAAACTCTACAGCTTCACGATTCAGCTACATTGAACTCCCGCAGAGATCATGTTTAAGCCCCTTTTGTACAACTTTTACGTCAGATAAATTGACGATTGTCTTAGAGACATCTGCACGTTGAGACAACTTGCAGATGACGGCGTAGTG